AAACGTCCACAATGACTGGTCGACCGGGCGATAAACGCTCCACTCTGCCGAGTCGTGGGGCCTCAGTAGAGGCCGCGCACAGCACGGAGAACCTAGCTGAGGAGGAGCGAGAAAGGTATATCATCGAGGATGGAATTAGAAAACGGGTTCAACCGGCCCGTAGTCCTCAACGCCAGCTGAACCCGGGCACTGGCATTGCTGGTTATCGACATCCGCGGGCTGGCACGTAAGCGCAGGAACAACAGTTTTCCTGTCCATTTTTACATTTCTTAGATAGAAGAAAGTAAAACGTTCTCTTAGATGTACACCTGCACGTAGTTGTCCGAAAAAAAATGTTTTTTGTACTTATATACCTACTTATATACGGAGGTTTATAGGAGAGAGCAGACGCATTTTAAAATGTACCGAACCACATCCTTCCGCTTACCTTTACGAGTAAGCGCAGGCTGGAACAATATAGTACCGCCTCCTTCTCTAACATTAACAAATGAGTTTTTCGTTTCAGTATCCATTAAACCATATCCGTGTTGGCATGCAGTTCAAGGTGTAAAGTAAGGAGATCATCAGGCCACCAAACTTCCCCTGTGGGGTTATGACTTACGGATAAGTAAGATCTTACAAACTGGCCAGATTTATACAGCCAACACATTGCAATTATTTTAGAAAACAAAAAGTCTAGGTCAAATAGGTTCATTTGGTAATACACTTCACGTAGTCAGGATTAGTTGACCTCGATTTCAAAGACATGTGTGAGATTAAATTGACTGTGAGTAGATTAACCCATCGAAAAACGTCGAGGAGACGATTTAACCAGTTATACAAGATGTCAGAGGATTATTTTATGCATGTGCAACTACAGAGAAGCAACGGATGAACCCTGGGGAGGAGTGTTGCTCTTTTTTCCGATGCGTCATCCACGATAATGATGCCTCGTTTCATTAGGTAGACAGTCTAACCAAAATTTTAAGCCGATACTGTCGATCACCAGATAGTGGTCACCTTGAAAACCTGGTTGTATCAAATAATCCCCCCAGCATCAGAGATCTCCTTTGTCAGTTCGAACGTTTCAATCTGGCACGATTTTGTCTAGTTCGCATTTGAGGTTCATCCGATTATCAGACCAGGCTACAAACATGCCACCTAAAAACCTCCCAGGCTTTAAAATATCTCATAATTCTGGTCAAGTTAATAATTGATAGCCTCTTTGAAAATTATAGCCCAGCCTTTCACCTTGAAAGCCCTAACGTAAAGATGCAATTTAAATACCTGCAACAAAATACATCTTCGAGTTTTGCCCTCACCAATGTTCCGACTTGGATCTGGCATACAGGCAGTTCTGTAGAAAAGTACGGGAGGACTAGCTTCTGGGGATTTTTCACCAGCTCTGCATCTGAAACGACACCTTTACTTTGGTGTATAGCCAGTTCGCACCAATTTCCCCAGCCGCAAATACAGAGCGTCGAAAAAAATGCAGGAGACTTGTTTTGCAACTTTCACGGTCCCCAATTTTATTCCATCAGGTATAAAATGATTATCAAAGAGCATTGTTGCGGTCGTTGTAGTATTATTGAAAAAAACTGGGAAACTTGTGCTCTGCACAAAAGAATGCTACAACAGTATAAAATAAGTGACTAATCTTACATAGCATGGACTTGGCCAGCTATTACCTTGGTCTGCATTCCTCATAGACCTCGGATCCGCACAGCCGGTTTTCATGCTACGCCGAAGTTGATACCATTCATACTCGCAAAAATTAATATTTGGTCGTTAGGGTGGTTTGGCAGATTTGCTTAATCTAGTTGACCTAATCGTGATAAATCTCGCGGCCTCGGTGGGAGTCGAACCCACACAGCAGGGAAGGCTTTTGCGCAGCCAACCTTCTACCACTGAGCTACGAGGCTCACCGTGCGCCGTGAAGTTAATCACACTTGGATTTATTTTATCCGCCCAAATTACTGCTAGGATGGAATCCACCATTACAGAACAGCAAGCTAACTTCTCAGGCAGGATCTCCTAAGCAATCATTTAGAATCCACCAGAATGGCTACTAGGCTCATTTACTTGTTAGAGGGGAGGAAGTGGCAGATTTGCTTAATTGAGTTGACCCAATTGCGATATTTGATCATTCCTGCTTTTAAAATATTTAAATATGTGCGCCCTCTTAGGCTGGACCGAAGGGACCTGGGCATGGCTCGTCTACACGAGATCGATGAGACACGCCAGGGGAGCTTCA